CATATTATTAGAGTATTCAATTTAATTAACTTTTGAATATTATTCTATACACATAATAAGTGAAGATGTTTATTATCTATCAAATATTTTTACGTAGTTTATATGAATCTATTTATCTTTATATTTCATATAAAAGATATAGATTAAAATATAGTAAACGAGTTAATAATTTTTTAAAAAAACATATTCTCATTCAAGGTTGAATATATTGAAACTTAATAATAGCGTAACATTTTGACTAACATTCTTAAAAAACAAATTTGACAAATGATAACAATTATATTTGATATAGATGCAACTTAAGAATCTAAAATACCGATAGATGTGATTCATGCAAAAATCATACAAATTTAAATTGTATATTTGAAAAAGGAACAAAAACGATTGAAAAACGAAATATTCAAAGGAATTCTATCATATCAATGTGAAAAAAGAATAATAAGACGGGTAGATGTATTTTATTAGTATTTTTCAGTTATTTATAATATAATTCTTATATACTCAAGAAAAAAAGTACATCAGAGTATATGTTTTAATATAAAGATTCAAACTCATGGATATTCCAATAAAATGTAGAAAGTGACATATTAACTACATGTCCAAACAAAAAAATTACTAAGAAAATATATATTGACATTTGATATATTGATTAATAATGTACTATCCCTCATTTAATAGATTATAGATGTTAAATTTGTTAAGTTTCATTTTGATCTTCATCTCAAAACGATCATCATAATTAATATATAGTAAAAAAAATAAAGAGATAATATTACATTTGGAAATAAAGAGCGCTATATAATTGATTGAAAAAAAATAATCCTTTAATTTTTATTTTAAAGACCGCGCGAAGCGCGGCCAAATTCCCTAATAAAAGATGTAACTTAAAAGAATCAAAACATATTCCAAATTTTAGTAAGAAAGTAGACAAAAAATATAGAAGAGTTTTCTTGTATGATAAGAAAATACGCAGAAACTGATGAGACTTTTAGTTCTAAAATTTTATGGCAATTGAGATGAGTAGTAAATTTTTAGACATTCAATTTTGTACATTAAAGAATAAAATAATTGGAATTGTATTTGTCATTGTTCTTTTTTTCTATAATATAAATAATAAAAAAATATAGATATATATAACCGTCCCTTCATTAATATAATATTTATTTATAATAAATTAAACAGACGAGGGACCAAAATGCCCTTGAACAATTGAAGTTAGTACAAAATCACCATTCACCCACATAGTGATTCCAAAATACCATTGACCTTTACCTTTAGATCCTATATTACTGTAGCTAAAATCTATCAATTCAATTTGATTTTGTAATTTATTGTAATTAGCTTATCAATTTTTTATCGTTATCAGTTTGTTTATCGATTTGTTAAGATTTGACACCAAAAAAATATTGAAAATTACTTTAAAACATGATAACAAATCGAATAAACTATGAACATGAGTTCACAACTCACAAATTACATCAAACTCAAAAACAAACACTTTTACATTGTAGAATACCAAATGTTTGAGATAACCAAAAATAAAAGTAGAAAACAAAACTCTAAGTCAGACTTTTTTTATATTAAATGGTATAAATTTATTATTTAATTAATATGAAATTATCAATTAACCAGTTAAGAAGAAACAACAAACTATTAAAAACCGATAACCTAATATCAGAAAAACTAAAATCGTTATCAAAATTACAAAATCAATAACCCAATAATGAACAACCCTATATATTACCATATTTTTAACCGTCTATAATTTAATTCCCACTAATAAATTCATTATTAACGCGTCACTTATCTATTGGTTATGCGATAATTAATCTAAACTAATTAATTACTCACCATTGCTCTCACCAAATCGACCACCCCAAATTAAGCTAACTTACGCATTTCCCATCTCTCTTCAAGGGTGGCGTTTCTATTATCCGACATCTTTTTCTTATTTCTCCTAAAAAAAAGGGGGGAATTATAGGAGTTTAAAATTGTAAGCTAATTGGTGGACGAAGAATAGTTTTGGACCATTTCTCTAATAGTTCAAAAGTATTTTAAGCCCTTTTCCGTAAATTAAATAATACTTCCATAATAAATTAATCATTTTAATATGAAAATGATTTTAAAAAATGAAACTAGAAAAAGAGAGAAAAACGGGAGGAAATATGGAAATAGAGATTATAAAGAGTTGCCTAATCACCAACCTTTTGTATGATACTCATTTTTATATATATACTAGAGGGCCCAAACATTATAATTGTTGAAATGGTAAATGCTTAAATAAGTGCTTTTAAGTTTACTTTTATCATTCGCTAGACACTTGAAGTCAACATGGAAGAGGTGTAATGTTTCTTAGAATAGCAATTTTCAAGTATTAGACTACATGAATATTAAGCAATTAAAGTCAACATGTATAGGTGTAATCAATTTTGTTGAAAGTATTAAGCAAGCTACAGTGGACATTGTTACATTGATATTAGATGAGGAGAGCAAGTGAAGTTTTGTGGAACTGCATTGCCTTTCATTGATACAACTATGTCTATATATACATGTCACTAGTCGACTACTTCATTTACAAAGCTAACTAACTGACGGTAAGTTTTATCTAACAGACTCTGTAACTAATTAGTATTTAAGCTAAACTAATTAACAACTTAATGCAACAGTCACTCTTTTCCACAAACTTCCATATTAAAGACTTACATGTTTAACCTAAGAACTTCAATGAAGATGTCTTCTAAGAAAAGTTTCTTTGGAAATATCTAAGTAAACATGAAAGCCATAACAGAGCAAATAGGAAGATTTTGACTGGTCAGAGAATAATTGTTTTACTATTATATATTACAGTTTAAAACTGGTTCAATTGGCTTTGTGGTGCATATGTTTCTTGAGAACCAGAGAGAAATTATAATCTACACTAATGTAAATACCAGTAAAAATCATGAAGAATATTTGCATCTTCATTGATTGGGCACAGTAATACAGAGGAAAAGAAGTGCTAACAAAGAAATGGAAAACAAAACTATGGTAAAGCAAAATTGCAGGGTCAGGTCAAGCCTAGTAAAGCCTTAAGCATATGTTCTGGTCCAATTGTTTGTTTCTCTTCTCAAACTTCATTGTATATATTAGATAAGTAAATGAATTCCGTAGAATATAGAAATTGGCGCAAACACTTCGCAAACAAGAAAGAGGGAAAACGACAGTATGAAATTAATTTAAACAAAAATAAGAACTCATAGAAGCTATTACTTTTCTATATAATTTGTATAATTCAAAAAGGTGATATTCAATTATTCATATACAGATAACATGAAAGCAAATATATATCACCAGCTTCAACATATGTGGAAGCAACAAACTAGCACCAACAAACAATACTTAACACAATAATCATAATCGTCATTTATAACTTAGCTAAACTTCAAAAATTAAACTATCCTCTAATATTGACTATAAAGAAAGATGTCATGAAATTTCATTGGTGTTACAAAAGAACAAGGTTGATTCTTTCATCAAACAACTCATATCAAACAAAATATTTCAATTTTGATCGGGATGGACTTACCAAACCTATTTAATATTTGAATACATGAAGCTGCAAACTAGCCAAATGTATACTGTACGTAATTACAAGTATAATCCTTCTTCCTCAAGTGCTCTGTATTTTTTTTTATTTTTTTTGGTAACTAACGGTTTTATTTAATTACCAGTAACAAACATTACAAATCAAGCTGCCAACACAGAAAGCTTAGTTCTTTAGAAGGATCTCATACTACTATAGCTCTAACATATCATTGTTCAATACTTATAGCTATGTAACAAGTGCTCCGTATTGGAAAAGCACCATCTCATCACTTCATGAATTAAACAAGAGGATAAATTTTTCACCCTAGAGAAGACATGATAACCTCACCAAAAGACAACTTTTTTTATATGAGTTAAGTGTTTATCTGACTGGTTTGTATCGGAAAGGTAACGAGCTTTGTTTAAACATCCTAAATAGTCCATGAATGAAACATAAACTTTATTTATTTGTTTAAACATCATAAATAGTCCATGAATGAAACACAAGGATAGGTTTTCGGGGGAGAACATGTGATAATCTCACCAATATCTCTGCCTGATCTATTACCACGTTGAAGTGTGACCATCTCTTCTCAAAATCTAAAGATATCAAGAGATTACACTTTTATTTACTTAATTATATCCCCAAAAATCATAGACAAATGTAAGGACTTAAACAAGCACTTAGCACATAACTTGATTAGATCATACTAAAGGATATGCACTAAAAAATTCAGTAAAATACATGTGGATCAAGCATGAATTTAATTGCAGCGACACAACTTATCAAGTTAAAATTGATCAACAGATATGGTAGAGGGACTAACCCTCTTGCAGGCACCCTATCCCGCATAAATGGATGGTTACTAAAGAAAAGGACAACAATTTTTGGACACTGTAACCAAATAAAGATGATAAGTTACAACTGGAACTAACAGATATTAGCAAGGGAATGAACATACAAATTTTGAAACCACTACTGCAACTTTAAGACAAACAACAGTTGTTCTAGCACACTATGGTGTGCCTGGAAGGAAAATTATAACGTAATTAAAGGTTCAATAAAACTAGAGTTCCTTAATCTAATACATATCTCTACAACATTGATGTAGAAACTGCTAACTTGCATCATAGCTAATGCAAGTTTTTATTAATAACAAAGACTTAACCATAACTAGTTTGTATCATATATACAAGTCCATTACTTTCATCGTCTTATATTGTTTTAAGAAAAAACCAGTATCTATTTCAATGAGCAAAATACACAGTAATGAAATTGGACAAATCATTCAATTGAAGCATAACAATTCATTGAAATAAACTGAGTGGACTATCATGAAGTGAAAGAGATTTGAAATACCTCATCGATCCAACCCCTCATTCCCAAGCAGTTCTCCCTTGATCCTTAAATATGATAAGCAGAGAAAGTTTTTCCTTGTTCCTTGTTCCTTGAACCTTGAATATGTGCCTGAGTTGAAAATTTACATGAGAAATGATTTCTTTAATAGATGAGTGCAAAAACTATGTATCTCGGACTGTCCTACAATATTTCTGCACATGTGTCACACATCCTCCAATGATGGAAAATTATAGGAGGGTCTCCAATACGTATCTCATTAACCATCTTTAAAAATTACTAGCAACATAGTTAAAAACCAATCATAAAGAGATAAGTATCCTATTCATCCACCACAACTAAGCTAATATCCACAACTAAGCAACAAGTAATCCATCCAAATGTATTATTTTCTTAGCTCCAATAGAAAAGACGATTTTACTTGTTTTCATATTATGCCCACAAAATTTCTCAAACAGTGTTGAAACAGAAAAGCAATAAGACGATTCTTAAATACACCAATCAAAAGTTAATCCTCATTGACAAAATAGATTCAAAATAGAATATCTAATCGAATATTGTAATCAATCTGAAAAGCTTAAGCTACATTATAATAACAATCAGATGGTAAGCAGTACAGAGCTAAACTCCTTAACCCAATAAGGGTACCAAAATTAGCAACAACGGAGAGCAACAATATAATAATAATAAGACTATCAACATAATATACTAGTATTATTTTCAAGTAATTGGAGATAGACAAAAATTGGTACTACTACATAAATATGAGTATCAAATATACTTACAGTCACATGAAGTGTCAATATCCCACCCAAGTGATGTTGAATTATCAATATATTGAAACAAAAAGAAACTAAGATTAATTTCTTTGTTTTCTTTGGCATGCATAAACTTGGGATGGTAATTTCTCTTACAGAATCGTGATTATACCTTTTCCAGAAAAAATAGGACTACAATCTATGAGATATTTACCACTAAAAATAGTTAAATACGAAGAAACCTCCAACACCAACCTCCCATTAGAAAAAAATCATTTTTGGCTGAAGTGGGTTAGTTTATAATCTAGAAACCCACCTCCTTTACATATTTTACAAATAAAAAGGAAGCTCCATGAAGGGGTACTTGGCGCAACAAACTCTTAAGGAATTTTGAAGAGTAGCAATAATCCTTTGTAGAAGACTTTAAGAGAATGACGAAAAAAATCATGCACTTGGGAGAACGGTGAGCGCCAATCTAGGGTTTGAATCTCGAGCGACTGACCACCAAATGCAAACCAAACTCGAGGAGATTTTCTCACGACTTAGGATTAGAGAAAACGTGTGAAATTTCTTTGGTGTGAGTGTGATTGTTCCAAAGAAATTCCACACTTTCTTGAATCTAAATTTTCCAGATTTCTTTCTAACCTCTGCCTCACTAATTTTTATTTTTTTTCAAAGAAAATCGTAGAGAGTATATATAAAGGGGATTAGGTTTTGTTGGAGAGGGAAAAATCCGGATCGAAATCGCTTCGAAGCCAATCTCCCATTGAAATTGAATCCTTTTCCTCTTTTGAAGAAACACCTTTTCCTTCAAACTTGTTCCATTCCGAAAGAGGAAAAGAGGGTCGATGGCTCGGATCGGCTCGGATGTCCTTGGGACGAGACGTGTCTCGATCTCAAGGCCTCCAAGGACAAACACGCGTGATTTGCTGCCTGCAACCGAGAGAGACAAGGAAGAAGACGACAAAGAGGAGCAGGTTGCCTTATGCTCTCCATCCAGTGCGCCTTTGTACGTTGATGGCTAAAGTTGCAGCGTACGGGCTCCTTTTGGAAGACAGGAATTTGGGTCGGGTTGGAGGAGTTGGGATTGGGCTTAGAGATATTATGGGCTGCTGAAAATCTTAAAGGATTTGGGTTTGGGTATTATTTTGGAATTGGGTCGGATAGGAGGAAACAAAAGAAAGGGTGGGCCATTGGATTTTCAGAAATTGGCCCAATATTTCTTTTTGATCAAAGAGACTTATCAATTTAATGAAACTAGAATTTAATAGAAAACGAATTAGTATAATTGATTAACAAGCTTCTCATGGTTAACAAAATAAAATAATTAATTTGAATAAAATAAGATTCAAAATATAGGCTAAGATAATTAACCAAATATTTATATCAAAACCAAAATATTACTATTGTTTTCTATTTAAAAACATTGATAAACTATAATAATTATAAGAATAAATATGCGAGCCCCATACATTAGCTAAACGTTTATACCTCTCAAGTCTCAACTATACCCTCTCTTTTATTGACTGAAAAGATGGTTTTTCTCGATTGGACAGAAAATAAATAGTACAGTATTATATATTCCGGTTTATTGAGTGTAAATAGTTAAGAATAATTCCAGCTAGTCAGTCTCAACGACTAACCGCTGATAACCGTTCACTAACGCTCTATTCCCTTTCATTTGCTTAGTATAGCATACTCATTTATTGCTAATTTTTGGATGAACAATACCTAGTGCCGAACTTTGACTTCTTAAATAAACAAATAAATCAAATAATATAAATTTACTACACTTTTGTGACTAAATGAGCTGAGAATGCATTTTAATTAAGAATTACGAATTTATTGATAAACACGTCATGTATTTATTAACTCAGTAGCGTAAATATAAGTATAAAACTAAAAAAAGTTACTTGTCGAATGATTTAGTTATTTGCATTTAAGATTTTTATGTTTGAGATTTTAAATTAAGAACTCTAATTTACAATTTAGATCAAAATAGTCATATTAAACTTGCATAATATTCGCTAGCTAATACAAATGAAGACTCAAAAAATGGGGTAGCCATTTTTAAAAAAAATATAAGTTAGCTAAGACCGTTAAAATCACACTTCCCGCTCTTATTCTGATGACGCTATATATATCTTCTCATATGGTATTTACATTAGAAATTCTAAAAAGAGACAACAGAAATGGTGATAGTACACCAACAGCAATCGAAGAAGAGACGGCCAAATTATACCCCTCGACGGCCGGAGATGGCCGCCTCCAATTTTCCGACGAGAGGTCGTTCTACCAATTTTCCGACGAGAGGTCGTTCTACCAATTTTCCGACGAGAGGTCGTTCTTCCAATTTCCCGACGAGAGCTCGTTCTGCCATTTTTACGATGAGAGGTCGTTCTGCCAATTTTCCGACGAGAGGTCGTTCTGCCAATTTCCCGACGAGAGCTCATTCTGCCATTTTTCCGACGAGAGCTCGTTCTGCCATTTTTCCGACGAGAGCTCGTTCCACCATTGTTATGACGGACACCGTCCGGAACAAAAGGCAAAAAACAGAGACAGAAGAATTGGTTTTACCTTCTGCTCCGGCCACTTTTACTCCAATTACAAATAGGATCATCAATCTTCCTAAAAGCACCCATCAAACAAATTCTAATTGGTTCTTAAATACTACTAGACAGGTCTATAAAAGATTCACACTTTTTGTTTTTATATGAAGTTACCTTTCTTACAGTTCTTGTTTTCTTTTTTTTGCAGACCCAAATTCTGCCCAGTGAACAAGAAGTTGAAGTTGTTAGGCCGTCTCTGGAGAATCATGGCATGGAGGTAAATTTAATTTTTCTTTCAGTCCTTGATTCTTGCGTTCTTATTCTTATCTATCTGTTGCAGATGCCCAGTGACCAAGAAGTTGAAGTTGTTAGGCCGCCTCTGGAGAATCATGGCATGGAGGTAAATTTATTTTTTCTTTCAGTCCTCGATTTATGCGTTCTTATTCTTATCTATCTGTTGCAGATGCCCAGTGAACAAGAAGTTGAAGTTGTTATGCGGCCTCTGGAGAATCATGGCATGGAGGTAAATTTATTTTTTCTTTCAGTCCTTGATTCTTGCGTTCTTATTCTTATCTATCTGTTGCAGATGCCCAGTGAACAAGAAGTTGAAGTTGTTAAGCCGTCTCTGGAGAATCATGGCATGGAGGTAAATTTATTTTTTCTTTCAGTCCTCGATTTATGCGTTCTTATTCTTATCTATCTGTTGCAGATGCCCAGTGAACAAGAAGTTGAAGTTGTTAGGCCGTCTCTGGAGAATCATGGCATGGAGGTAAATTTAATTTTTCTTTCAGTCCTTGATTCTTGCGTTCTTATTCTTATCTATCTGTTGCAGATGCCCAGTGACCAAGAAGTTGAAGTTGTTAGGCCGCCTCTGGAGAATCATGGCATGGAGGTAAATTTATTTTTTCTTTCAGTCCTTGATTCTTGCGTTCTTATTTTTATCTATCTGTTGCAGATGCCCAATGAACAAGATGATGAAATTGATATGCCTCTTCTAGAATATTATGGCACTGAACAGTCTCAAGTAAGAGTTTTTTTTTCGGTCCTTAGATTCCAGTTTTGTAAAGAACTCTTATACTTATATTGTGTATTCTATTTTGTAGGATGATATTGCAGTGAATGAGGAAGTCGAAATGGCTAGTGGGAGGTCATCTTTTGTTCTCAAGTGCCTCTGTGGCAGAAAAATTAAATTCGAAATGACAGAGTTATAATCTGAATCAGAAGTGATGATTTGTATGTGTACTGTTCAGTATGTTTGATTGCGAGAGCTAATTTCGGTTATAATTGTATAAAATGTACAAATGCAAATACATATGTAGCTTCTGGTCTAGTATTTGATCACGTGATGGCGAAGCCAGAGTTCATACATGACCATATGAAAAGCATCATGTCTTATAGGAGGTGCATTCCACTGGAAGTGCTTCTTAATCTGAGAAAAAGAAGATTAATCACAAGAAATTTACTAATATAGACTCATAGCAAAGCAATTTGTGTCTTCTCACATACACTAGCACATTATGTACGAACGATGGGTATAAATACTCAAAACGTATCAAAGATGTTACTCACCTTTACTAAATTGTCATGCAAGGTGACAAATTCTTCTTGTGTGATGTTCTTGAGAATTTGCTTTAGGTCATATACATCCTTCTCCCTCAGTACGACCGCAAACTTACGCCAATCAATAATGTCATTAAATGGCAAATCATAGTAATCAGAAAGTATCACTGCAAAATGACCCAAAAAGTAGTGGAGACTTAGGAAGGAAGCATTGTGAAAGTTAAAACAATCAGATAATCTTAATAAAAAAGATGAACAAGTATGTTGAACAGCATTTCACCATGAATTTCTTCACACCAGATTGTTTTTAACTAACTTGGTGACCAATTACTTCATCTGCTCACTGTCCCCCCACCCCGCATTCCGTATGACCCTCTAGCGCCTTACCTTTCGAGAGAAAATCATTTTCTCAAACAGAGAGAAAGAAGACTAAAAAATGAATTTGTGAATGAAGATCAAACACTTGGTTCCACACTATCTTACAAACCTTTCATATCCTATCTTAAAGCTTATTATAAATTCGGCATAATTTCCACAAGAACTGAGACGCTAGGAGAAGGTAGTCATTTTAAGAAGAAACTCTACCATCGCTCAACTTGGTGTGTTCATGAGATGCTTAATTGAAGATAAGACAACATAATAAAACACAATGACTCTTTCAAGCTGTCAAAAAAGCTCAAACACTTACCAGGAACACATCCATAATGTATTGAGTCTGTTATACGAGCGCTGTTAACCTGGGAACCACCTGGACATATGCAGAACTTTGTCCTGTAAAATCTCTTTTGATAAACAAGAGGTCCTGTAGCCCTGTTTATCCTATTGTTGGAAATATCCAATTCAGTGTCATTTTCCCACTGACGTGCCAGGATAACCCTGATTTTAGAGTTTCTATGACCTGCCCAGAAACCCAAAGTTGTCCTGTACAAATTAGGATCTCTGTTACTGACATGCTATTTTCACTAATTGTATTGGGCCTCCAAGAATTAGATAGAACTACAACTACCTGATCAATCTACTAATGTATGATATTCAGTTTAATCTTAACACAAATGGCCATGAAAGATATTTAAGAAGTATCTATCTGTTGAGTAAGACGAGTATTGTTTCCGACTTAGAATCACTGTTAAATCATCTGCAGTCCTTAGAAGACTCTCTTTTCAGTACCTTTTTGGTACTGTTTGATAAAAATTTCTAACTTCTCATAAAAAAGAGCCATGAAACTAATAAAATACATGTGCTCACTCGTGGGATCACATTGGGATGTTGTTGTTGTTGTTTGTGCCCACAAATAGGAAGATCAACATAAAAAGATACTAAAGAAGAAGGCATATATATAAAGAGATGCCAAGGGGATGGTAGATGCAACTGAGAAGTATAATTATCAAGGGAAGGCACACAAAAGATGCAGTTGAAAATTACTTCTATAAATATTTGTAACAGCGAGATCATAAGCTTGAATTAAGACTTTTAAAGAAAGGTATGAGTTGCAGAAAAGGGCTATAGAGTCAGTTAGAAAGTGCTGAATCTGTGGAATTACACTTAAGAAGGGGCTGAGCATGTGGACTCTAATAGTGAGATATTACCTTGTGCGCACCCAAAGAGTAGCGGCTGCGGGTTTCCCTTGTCATAAAAAAAAAGAAGACAAATTTCTTCTTAAACATAGCCTTGGGACAAGTAAAAGAAAAGGAATGGGTATTCAGTTGGGAGAAAAGGGCATATCCTAGTCATTTTTTCATCTTCCAATTTTTCCATATTTAATGGTGTAATTCAAGTGCTATGGAAGAAAAACTATCGCGCATGATGGAAGATTGGCAGTAACACAAGGGCCCAGGTTGAGAGAAATACAAATGCTATAAAACTGCAGTCTGTCAGTAAACTATCACTAAACTGGTGCAGATGTTTTTTTCCTTCATCCTTGGCTCAATGAGATGTCGGATTCTAACTATTCACATAGAGGTAACCATGTTGGATGTGTCAACAGAAAAAAGGATTAAAGACAAAAAGAAGTAGAAATTTGTATGGAAAGAGAATGATCTGATCTGTGGCACATTCATTATCCAACAGGATTACCTGTTCTCAATGTCATTTCCTCCAGCAGGAAGGGCAAATGGCTGCAGAACTTGTGGAAGAGCAACATCCTTATGCGGAATATATCCAACATCATAGCTAGGGGAGCACACGACACGGATTGCATTCTTTACAAGAAAGGGATGCCCTTCAGTTGCCCTGACCCCAACATCATGACAGGTAACAAAGAAGTGATCTGCACCCATGGTTCTATTCCAGTATGGATATTTGGCTATCAAACTATCAACATAGTTCTGTACAATTATGGTCATGTTCTCATATGATGTTCCCTGCATTCCATCAAAGAATTCTTACATAATATATGAGGAGTCCCAAAAGTTAGGTAGTGCCAAATACCCCAATCTTAAATAGTATATGTGTTTCAAATTTTTTATGTTCAAAAAGCTAGGATCAGAATAAAATTTTATTTTATTTTTTGAAAAGGAAGCTCGTATCAGAATATACACTAAGATTATGAGCCAAATGTATATGTCTTCTCAGAAGTACGAGACTTTTCAATGTTGGCGCAGAATGATAATCTATACAAACCAAGAGCTGGTACTACACAAGTATAACAAGCAGCACATGTTACATGGATATAGCAACAATAGGGAAGGCCAAAAGAGAAAAGTTATTTACACAATAAGTGCAAAGGAGAAAGAAGTGACATTACTACGTACACCGTGATTCCCAGTTCCCTTATACATGAAAAATCAATGTTCTCAGCATTGGTTGCAGCATTTCCAGTTAAATAATTAACACTTGGATTAGAAAAACTAACACATTCAGCTAACACGCCCGCATTAATAGATGCTGGAATCGGACTTCTGATTCCTAAGAAGATAATGTATACAATAGACAACAGTAATGTCTAAACTCCAAAGTAATTGTACTTCTCATTCATGCACCCTCTCTAGCATAAGATCTAAATGAATTAGACAAAAATTAGCCATCGTGTCTTCGACTCCTTGTTAACCGATCTGCCAGTCCTACTTAACATCCTCAGCCAAGAAAAAAACAAATGTTTTTCAACCTTGTTAAACCAATCGAATCATATTAATGAACTTAGAGATTCTATCACCAATCAAATGGATTACAAAAAGAAGCCACCTGATGCAACTGTTTAAGGTATTCATTGCCACTCTCCATTCAAAAAATTCAGCACATTAGCCATTAAACTGTAATTACTGTAACTGAACTTCCAATATCTAACTATTTTGCACAACATTTACTCAATAAACATCAAACAAGACTGAATCTAACACCAAAAAGCAAATCAAAATAAGATTTTGAATTTGAATACTTCAGAACACAATGCTTACCTTTCCTCTCATCTTATGACAAGAGATCGGAATGAAGAACAAGTGAGCCTCATTTGGATCCTCAGTAACAAACTTACTCTCTCGAATATTCTGGAAGAAATATCCTTCACTAGAATACTTCCCAGTCAGCTTCCTTGGCGTTTGATAAAACGTTTTCGGATCTCCATCTTTATATATATACACCTTAAATTTCCTCTCCATTTCTTCATAATTCAACCTAAACACTCCCGGCGAATTATACACATCCGATAACACCTCCTCCTCCTCCCTAACAACCTTAAATCGCAAATAAATAAATTAGTTGAAACAAGCATAAATCAGCATGTTTTAGAAGAATCTAGAAGAAAATGTTAGCAGTACCTGAGATGATTGCACGATGAGCGAAGGAGTTTCAGAAGAAGGAGAATTAGGAGAGTGGAAGGATTTGAGGGAAAGGTATGTGAAGGAGAGTAAGGTTAAGATGGCGAGAGAGAGGAGGGAGCTTTGGAGACTGCAGTAACTAGATGCCGGTGGTTGTGAAAGTTTCGTCGACCACATTGCCGACAGAGTGGCGGATTCCGGCGGAAATTTTTCGGTGAAGAGGAGAAGTTTGGGCTCGGAAGTGAAATGTTTGACTGGATTTGGGCTTTTCACCAGATTTGAAGGCCTAAATACACATTCATAAACATTTCTACTTTTTAGAATATTTATTACTACATCTCGATTTAATTTACACTTTTTAATCACTTTGTACAAAAATAAAAAAATGTATATTTGATAAATCTACACTATTTTATTCAAATTCAACTCCACTTATTTGAAGAAGAAAAACACAAAATGTACTCTTCTATTTTAATATTTATATATTTTGAAAATAATTTTCAAATATATCAGAAATTTTTTATATTTCTTAAATTTTGTGTGCAATTAAATTATACTCTCTCTGTCCCTATTTACCTGTCCATATTTTATTTTATATGTGTTTCTATTTACTTGTCCATTTTAACAAATTAAGAAAGGACAATAAATTTTTTTCCTAATATGCCCTTATTTAATTCTAAAAAAATTCTAGTACTAGTAGGGGTGTGCAAAAACCGAACCGACCAATAAACCGAACCAATAAAATGTTATTGGGTTATTGTTATTGGGTTACTGGGTTATTGGGTTTTTAATGGGTTTAGAAAAAATAATTATTGGGGTATTGGGTTGGTTTCGGTTTTTCCTATTGGGTTATTGGGTAAACCGATAACCCAATAAGACGATAATTATTTACTACTTTACCCTTCCTCAATATTAAATATACATAATTTAATACATAAATAGATTCAATATTAGCTTTTCAGGCTATGTGATTTTTTGGTTACGAAATTGGTGAGAACTTCATTGATTATCTGGTGGATCAAGCAACTGTTCAAGATTGTCTCATTGAAATATTTTATTTTAGTTTTAATTCTAGTTCGTAATTGTAGGAGATAGCTTTTGCAAGTTTGTGAATGTTAGTAATTTGATCAACATTCAAAGTTTTCTATTATGTTTTGGCGGTAAGTTGGTAACATGTAATTATAACATACGTACTATTATATATTATTTGATCGACATTTTCTTATTGGGTTAACCGAAACCGAACCGATAACATCAAAAACCGATAAACCGATAAAGAATTTCTTATTGGTTTGTTATTGGGTTAGCATATTTTAAAACCGAAAACCGATAAACCGAATCGATTATATGTAAAACCGAACCGAACCGACCGATGCACACCCCTAAGTACTAGTAAGTTATAATGCAAGTTTTTGAAATCAGAAAATAAATTTATTATACTTGGAATTACATAATCTTTTAAGCAAAGAATAAAATTATAACTAACATATGATAATAATTGGTGTCTTAATATGTTTGTCACTTCTAAAGTGGACAACTAAATAAAGACAAAGAAGGGAATATTAAATTTACAGAGAGAGAAAAAAAATATTTTATTCAAAAATTGTTATATAAGGTCTAAGGATATTATAGAATATATAAGATCTCTGCATATAATAAATTATAAAATGCAAGAGAAATATAAAATTTCTAATTCGTTATTTTGTAAGATAATTATATTTAAACTATCGATTTCAACTAGACTTCATATTGATGCATTAATCATGAAGCATGTTCACATAAATATTTAACAAATGATGAAGAGAAAATATAAAGAGGATATATTATTATTAATTATTATAGTATGATTATAAATAAGAGAAAATTCATTAACTGAAAAAGAATGAATAGGATTGAATTAAATAACCATACTATAAATAACAAAAACTAAGGAATTGCATTATCTATTGAAATATTAATATAAAGTCAATCGTGATTGTAACTAAAATAAAATCATAGTAATTAACTATTAATAATATATTAAAAGCGAGAAACAAAATAACTAATTTTCATCAATTTGCTGTATTTTTCTCTGCATGCCTTCTGGTTATTTGCCTCTCTCATGCACTGTGTAGACATAAAAAGAAAATCATTTATTTAATTAATAACTGAAGGCAAATAAATATTTAAAAAATAAAAGATACATTATTTTAAAAATTAAAATAAAATTTTTTGATATAAATTTTAATTAATTAATTTTCAATATAAATATTAAATATTGAATAAAAAACCTACGCCATAAAAGGAGTCAAGCATAAGACTTGAGCCAATATCCGATGTTCAAATGACAGCTGCGTTACAAAAAGAAATCATACGTTACAATTTTAATTAATAAATAATATGAAGCAGATATAATTAGGATAATATATCAAGATTTTATTTTATTTTGTACAACATTCAAAATTTACTAAATCAACTAATCTCAATATTTTTAGTTAATTACTTCAAAATAATAATAAAAATATTAAAATAAAACCATATAAAATAAAAATACCTGATCCTTTACGCCACTTCGTTAATATCGTATGATAGGAATCACATTTATTGCTCCTATCTCCTTTTTCGCACTACAAAAAATACAATTAATTATTATTATTATTTGAATGGATATAGTGAATCAAAATGGTACATTAATCAATAATTAATAAAAGTTTGAATAAAACCCCTCAAATCTTAACCAGTTAGAGATTTGGAGTTAAATTATAGGAATGAGAAAAAATTGTTAAAGAGAGCTTTCTTTTAAATAGATATTACGAGTCGATATTAAATTATTAGACGAAATCTTATTATGAAATTTGAACACCAAATGAGTGGATAAAAAAATGTTGATATACTTAGGTCATGTAATTAACCTATCACTTGTTTAAGCGACAAATAATAATAAATGTATGCAACAAGAAGAAAATAATAATTAGAAAGTGCTAACAAGTCATGGGTTACGTCCCGCCATATCTTAGTTAAATTTTGCATTTGAAAGAGGTGGAAGGGGCTAGAGTTGTGGAGAAGTTTGCGGAGAACTCTAGAACCTTTTAGATTAATCAAGAATTCCTTAGAATTCTCTAGAATAATTTAGATATTTTCTTAAATGATTTGATATATTCTAGAAAGTGTAGACTTTTCTAGAATAGGGACCAAAGCATAATTATTAGAAGAACTTGTAAGTAAATTTTATTTACACTTTAGCTCCTAGATAGTAGTATAAATAGGGAGCTCTCATTTGTAAATTATCGAAGCTTGAAACAAGCAAACCAAACAAAGTTATAAGTAATTTTTCCAAGCAACACAAAAGCGTTCTCTTTCTTTTCTAAAATAAGATTTCTTTTTTAATTTATATATTTTTAAAGTTAGCCTTCATTTTCAAAAAATAAATCTAATTTTTTTTATGTATGAAATATATTCTATTTAAACTATTTTTGAAAGTATATTATCATCAAATACATAATAATACAAACTAAATATAGTACATGAATAATTAAATGATGAAGTGATTAATATTTCAGAAAATTTGTGATTATTCATAATTAAGCAAACGGAAATATCGAGAGCCAGAAATATTATCAAGGCTAAAACTTTTATGATTTTTTTTTGTATTGTCGACACTCAATTTTGATCGACCTTTAACAATTTGAGGATTTTTATTCGACTAAATACGTATTCTAAAATTTACCTAAAGTTTTAAAGTTTTAATCGATTTTTCTCAAAAAATTATATATTTTAATATCGTTTACTTTATAAAATTATTATAAATATTATTATATATTTTTTTATTTTAATGAATTTCAAATGTTTTAAAATTTAAATGATTTTCAATTATACAAAAATATTTTAATATATGTAATATTTTAATTAAATAGTTATTCCTACACTTTCCTTCTTCTTTTTTCCGGCCGGCGAGGCCATCAGCTAGAGGTGGCAACGCCCCTCTGTCGCCACCCCTCTCCAGCCGCCTCCCTTTCCGTCCTTCTCCCTCTCCCCGCCTCCACCTTTTCTCTTCTCCCTCTCGCCTCTCTTCTCTTCTCCTTCTTCTTTTGCAGGCAGCAGCAGCCTAGAGGAGCAGCTCCGACTCCAGAAACTCCACGCAGCAGCGGCCGGCCAGCAGCTCCAACAACACCAGCGCAGCAGCTCCGAGCAGAGAGCCATCGCGAGGAAAACAATCCAGGCAGCAGCTCCAGCGCCTCCCGCCAGCAAGCAGTCCGCTCGTCCCCTCCCTTTTCCGGCAAAACAATGGACAACAACTCCAGCAGCTCCGGTCAACAAACACAAGCAGCAACGCCAAACAAGAAAAAAATTCTGGCGAGGAGAGCAACATCAACTCCGGTCAGCAGCAACCATAAGATAGAACAAGTGAATCTCTATCTCCGGCGAAGTTTGAGTTCAAAGGCGGATCTCAACAGATCCGTCCAAGTAAGTTTTAATCCAAATGATTTAAATCTTTTTTCATTACATCATTGGTTATTGTGAGATGATTGCTTCGAGAGTCTGTGTTTGGCATGTTCGATTTGATCTTAGTTGTTGATTTGTGCTCCGTTATTCCATTGATGTGTGCTCAGATCGTACACAGGTATTTTTTAACTTTCGTTTACTGTTGTACAGGTTGCAAACAAGCAAAATGTGTAGATATATTATTTTGTTGTCCATGTTCATATTATTAGTCTTAATCATATAATATGGCCAATTCGAAATATCCTTGATGCATTGTCTTAAGCTTTGAACTGTCTTTTTGTGACTGAATCAATTTCGGCTCTAATAGTATTGATTGTGGTTAGCTGCCCTCTATCTCAAGTTATTTCTACATATCTTAAAACAATTTTAAAATCTTGTTATGCTCAGGCTGATTGGTTATCCCAAATCCTCTCCCTCTAATTGATCTCAAATTGTTGATGTATTTTAGCCTGAATATTAGTCATTTGTGATGAATGACTTTACGTGATTGCTTGTTTATATATGATAATTGGCTGATTTTCTCTGGCTAAGTTAATTTGAAATATGTCTATCATGATCTTTTTCCTTCAATGATGTTCAATTTCTAAAATATTTTTTCTTGTCTTGATGATGAATTAAGTTGACTATTATATACTTCGTATCAAGAAGAGTTTTCTTTCCTTGCTGAATTTCTGATAATTTTTCTTGCTTATCTCTTTGATAGTGCTTTGACTAATTAATTAATTAGTGTGGCTAATTGGTAACTTCTTACCTTATTAGGAAAAAGTTGTCATTCTCTTATTTATTTATATTCGGTAAAAATATATAT